CATTTAGCCCCCCCCCCCCCCCCACCAACAGTATGTAAATAGGTACAGATTAAAATGCGAGCCAGTTTCAGTCGAGCTCTGAGGAAGTCAACAGGATGATTGGCGAAATGTCAGCAAGTTCGACTCAGCAAAACCCGACGTTTTGTAGAAGTTTTGTAAGAAGTATTTCATAAATGTTAAATAATTAACACCAGTCTGAAGCTACACGAGTCTTGTAAGATTACAATTACTTCGCAAGGTCCTCACTAATAAACATTTTATCCTAAAAAGCCAAAGAGGTAGAAAAATTGAGAAATCATTATACAAAATTTCTTATTACGGTTATTATAATTCTCCGCAACAGTTTAATTTAAACTGATAATTTGAAAGTTACCTGAAGTGAGATAACTCTGAAACTTCGCGGCATCGTTGTATTAGTAACATCTTTTATCTGTTTTTGACACCCCTTTGTTTTTATGAGCCCCATTTTTTTCTGACCACCGAAAGTTCGGCCATTAATAAAATGCTACTTTCATATTTCAAAGGAAGTTTGCCCCTAAGTTGCGGTTTATTCTTTTGAAGCCGGAAGTTTGCTTCTCACTGAAGGACTTTTGTTATAAAGAAGGACGCCGGAGTAGGTTGCATTAAAGTTTTGATAACGACGCAAAAGGGTGGGTTAAAATTCTACGGTCCGCGCGCAAAATCTAAGTCAATAATATTTCACATAACGCTGTTATTAGAAACCAGTTCCTGTGTTATGCGATTATTGTTAGTTGATTATGATATCCAACTCGAAGACGGATACAGGATATTTCTACTGGGAGGCTGAAGAGTTGCAATGCAACTGCAAGCTTTATGAAGTTTCGTTACAGATATAGATCCCTGCAAATAACTCATTTAATATTTGAAGGTTGGATAGACAGAGAACATCCTAATTCAGGAATTTAAAACGGGGTGGCTTCGAGTAAGGTAAAATAACTAGTGTGAGAAGAAATTGATGCTGATTCAGTTATTGGAATGAAACTTCTATGCAATAATCATAATAATAATAAAAGTGATTATACTGCTTTCTCAAAGTTTCAAAAAAAAATTAATACTACCGCAAAAATTGACTAAAAAGAATACATCTATACTGCCGAATATAAAATGTTACAAATTGCCGGCATATTGGAAAAGTGTTTGGGACTGCTTTGTTAGAGCTATTTTTGTCCTTTCAAATTAAAAAGAACTTTGACAGCAACCAACATGGTTTCTAGAAGGATCGATCTTTTTTGCTCATATCGACTTTTCTAAAACTATTGTCAAGGTTCATCACGCTGTTAAACTTGTAAATTTCGATCTGTAGGGGAGGCCTATAGACCTTTTAAAAAAATATTTGCAAGATACGAGGAGTGTTCTAAAAGTAAAGTGCCTTTTAAGTTTTATTAAAAAGCATTTATTTATTTATCAAAATGAATATTGTTCTCTTGAAAGTAATCGCCCTCCAGATATAATGTGCTTGTGCCAATCTTGAGTCCTGCCAGCGATTTTTTCTTTATCTCCTCAAACGTTCCAAGCCTCCTTCCATTCATGGGTTTCTTAAATTTTGGGAACAGGTAAAAGCGTGCTTTTGTTTTTATCCAAACGGATAGACACAAGGAATGATAAGTGAGTAGGTGAATTCTAGTTTTGCAAAATCCACGAATTGTTTTCCCACAATTCCAAACATTTTCTTTGTATTGCTTCTCGCAAACGGACATAACTTCAAGGTGATACTCGTTATTGACCGTACGACCTTGTGGTAATAATTCCTAAAGTACTATGCTACGATAATCAGAGAAAACAGTAAACAAAATCTTGACATTTGATTTTTTCGGTCTTGGCGGTTCTGGATTCTTCCGTTGGGGCGACTGGGCTTTAATTTCGACATCACCTTATACCAACACTCACCGTCACCGTCATCAGTTATGACCTTTTTGAGCATATCAGGATCCATCATTGACTTCGTTTAACAGCTCTTAAGCGATGCTCCTTCAACGGTCCTGCTACACGTTTCATTCTCAAAACTTCGAAATGATGATTTTTCAACACCATTTGTTTCCCTTCTTCAACGCTTTTATCAGTTATTGACGTGTTGGGACGTCCAAAGCCAGGTCATCTTGTGTTTCCATTTTTTAGACAAAATTTTATGCAAATTCTTTGTTCCATTTTTTTTTACAGCAGAAAATCACCAAGCACACAAAACACGTCTAACGCTTCTGTCTCACAAAGAAAACTGTGAACATATGTTAGGTACACATGTCGGCTTATCTGGATGTGACTTGTGAGGTTGAGCAATTGTTTTATGATATTGGAACTTGTTTATAGGACTCTCATGGTACGTATTCATTGCACGCTGATAAACTGATGATTTCTAGTACAGTCGTTGCGGAAATGCAAATATGCTCTTAAAACTTGTTAATATTGTTAAAAATTTAAGCGCATTTTAGAATCTAAACTGTTGTTCGCGTAATTTATTATTTATTCTAAGAACTCCCGATGTGCCCCAAAGAACCCAACCTCTTTAATTACGTTATATTGCATTATGGTAAGAAGTATTCTGGTCTATTCGTCAGGGTTCGAAATATCACAATTACATAAAGACCTTTTTACTTTCATAATGAGAGTTTAGACTATGATCGTTTGCAATTACTGAAGTCCAAAAGGCAGAGTGATATTTTCCTTGTTTATAAGATTATCGATTCGGAGTTTTGTGTGAACAATATTCTTTTTAATGCTAGCCTATGGAACAGGCTAATTTCAGTGTCCGAGCTTTTACGAGACTTTAGAAAGCTTATTACGAACAAAATTATTATTTTTTATATATAGCTTTATTTGTTATGTTCTAATTTCTTTTGCGTTCCTCTACCGAATTTTGTCATTATTCCAATTGTCTGTATTTAGTGTTGCCTTAGAATTGATCTACTCCAAATCACATAATCCACTTAAAATATTTTATCCCAATAAACGCACTAAGCTAAACTACTTTTCCTTCCCCCCCCCCCATCTTTTTCTAGAAAAAGACACCTAAAAATGTGAACCGAGATCAACCAAGACCGACAAAAACATTCCTGAGAGAATTTAGAGTAATTCTGTTAACTGTGTTCCGGTGCCGCGAAAATCCCGGTTGATAAAGTTACGGGCTCTAGGTGGAAAATCTTTTGATGACGGAATTATTTGGGCTCTTAGCCGAAACGTGACAAACGGGCGTTACGGCTCGCATCCCCAAAATTTTGATCGCGTCTCGATACCAAACCTTATATAAAAAAACTGCGCCATTGATGTACCATCATACGTAGTCTATTATCGGAAGGAGTATTTGATTGACGTTGTTGTCGGTTCAGCATCTCTGAATTGTTTGGGGTAATTTACTTAATATCGAGTGTTTCCCTATTCCGCATGAATTTTTTGCTTTGTTCGCTGAAATAAAAGCTGAACTTTTTCATCAAAGGAGATGATAATTGATATCTGAGTACCAGAACGGGAGTATTTCTCGAGCTTCCACGCAAGTGCTGACTCAGAATTAAAGTTGAAATTTAGCAAAATTTTCAGAATTCGACTCAATTTGTGACAAGAACCAACACTTTTTTTGTGTGTGTGCAATGTTGTGTTAAGTGTTAAGTGTTTCCGACACTGTTTTAGACAAAACAGCTTTGTTTGTAAATTATCGCATTTTCTATAATTGTGTCAAACTTGTCGCATTATATACCACTATATATACATGATTTGTGTTGTCAGTGTTGCCAAAACTCCCAAAATTAATTTTGCGTTGTAGATTCTAAATCATTCGTACTTCTTGAATGAAAAAGAGTGTGGATTTTATTTTATACATCAAAAGAATAATTTAGGCCTTTTTAATTTTCTTGTCCAATGACCAAGATTTGGGTGTTGCAAAAAGAACAATTAAAAAGGTCGACCGGGTATACCTGTCTGATCAGTATTATTCTATGATGAGCGAAGCCAGCCACAAATTCTCTGTGTTTATGTGGTGGTGGAGAATTTTGGAATTCTGAAAGTGGTGGCCCACTTATTATAAGAAAACTTGCCTGTCTGATGAAAGTTTTGTAAAAAAAAAACTTCCAAAAGGACTGAAACAGATCCTCTACTTTTATAAAATTTCAATATGATCAAAGCACAAAAGATGCAGACACTTCACAAAATTTCATTGGTGGTTTAAGCAAACACACTTTTTAACTATCCAGGAATAAATCTGCTTCTATTTTTTTGCCAGTTCTACAGGCTTACCCGAACGGAAATGTTCCCCTAAACCCTGAGAAAGTCGAAAATATCAAACGGGTGAACAGTAGCATACCTTCAGAGTATATGCAATTTAATGAGAAAATTTTTGATTGCCCGACTGGTGAACTGGGCGATGAAGACCCAAATGTCGAGTGTGGCCAAGAATTCGATTATGTGCCTTAAAAACTTTGTCATCTTTGTAAATAAAACTTAGTTTTGAGTTTCCATTTCGTTTTTGTCTTACTTTTTAACCTAATTTAATATGCATATGTTCAGTGCAAAAACAACATAAGTCCGGAATATATTTTTTTATTATATATCGTAAAAAATAATATTTCCAAATATCATTTATCAAAAAATTTAGTCAACTAAATTTATGATAAAAAAAATATTATTCTAGTAATATAGTTTTTTGTGATTCCTCAAAAGTTTAATTTTTTGACTTATGTGGTTTTTGAAATGAGCGATTCAATTGCTTTCGTCTCTCGGCGTGACCCTGACATTACGGAAACGTCTGGCGCGATCTCTCCCCAGCTACGTCTTACAATTAAACCTTGTTTTCAAGGGATATTTTTCACTCGCCCTTCCGTAGTTCCCGAGGGCGGAAATAAATAAAAGGGATTTGCCGTTTTACCCGCTTTGACGTTACACTGCGGAACGTAATGACGGCCGGTCCGCCCCACTCTCTTTTATTGCCGACATAAAAAAAATAGATACATATAACTTATCAGATTAAAAGCGTTTGCTGTTCTTAATTTTTGCAGGAAACTGGCAGACATATCTAGATCGACCCGGGGCGTGGTGATATTGTGCAGCGATAGCAGGAGCGCGATCAGGATCCTCGATGACGCGAAACGCTTGAACATGATGGACGGCCACTTCGTCTGGATATGGATCGACACTGCCGGTTCGATTAATATCCGAAACGGGTCTGAGGAGGACAACAAAGAGTCGATCGAACGCACGAAACGCGACTCAGATCCGTCGGAATTCCGTAACAGGGCGAAACGGGACGCGTACGACGACATAAACGATATGCATATTCATTATTTTTTGAAAAACGATCACTACCTTTTGTTGAATCGTAATAATTATGGCGTTGAAAGTTCTAAATCGCACGATCGCGGTCCATCCGACGTCGTCGTCGGAAAAACGCGCGTTGTTGTGCTTAACGATTATTTCGGAGGTGATGATGTCAGTGGGAAAAAATTGAGTGAGTTGCCTGCGGGGTTGCTGCGTTTGAAACCGCTGCCCGTGAAAGTCGATAGGCATTTGGTCAAAGGCGCGGTCAAGTTGCTCACCACCACGCTGAGGACGGTCATGGACAGGTCTCCCGCCTGGTTGGTGCAGAACGTGGCCTGGAACAAGTTCGCTACCAGTTGCTGGGAGCAGGAGTTCGAAGGCGACTCTAGTTTCGCCACGGATTTCGGCAGGTACGATGACTTTATTATGTGAATTCTAAACTCTGAACTCTGTCGGTAACTTGATATGATCTTCTGTTCCTGTTTTCAAATGTTGGAATAATATTTCCAACTATTTAGTTTAGACCAACACAACAAAAGAAAATCAAATCACAGAGCTAAACGTTGATTACGTTTAAGTCGATGTTTTCAAGATTCAACCAAAGGTGGCTTAAACTTCCATATCAAGTCTAAAATATCTTTGGTTTGACCTGAACCGAGTTCCTTGAGTTTGCGATATGAACACGTGAAGCGGCTTGGAATCACGAATTGACAGCTGTCAATTGGGAATTTGAATTGTGAAGTACGATGTTTGTTTTCTTTTTGGTTGTAAACAAAATAAATGCGAAGATGACGACAGTTTTACGAAATAAACACTGCATCTTCAGGCCGCTTAGTCGAGCCGCTTGGCTTGAAACCGGCTTGAAAACGTCGACTTAAACTTAGTAATTTTTGTACATAACAAATATCCACTGCATATGAATATACATAGAAAAATATGTTCCAACTAACAATTACATGGAAAATTAAAATTTCCGCCCAAATAATTCCAATTACAATAACAGATTCTACTTAGTGAGCCTACTTGCAAATTATGTTAATATATGAAATAAAGGTTGACTTGGATATTAAGTTCGCATTGACTCTTGTTAGGTAAAACGCTTAAAACTCACTTACTGATCCGGCCCTGGGAACCAATGAAGTCTAACGCCATGGAGTGCATTTTGTAATGAATTAAATTATGAAAAAAATTGATCGAGTAAGCTTCTCTACGAACTTCAAGAGAATCGATTTGATTGAAACATGTTTAATAGGGCTTGATGTTCAAAACCCTTATACGGATAAATCTCTGAATGTTTAAACAATAAGTATTTAAGAAATCTCCGCTGAACATTTTTGAAACTATGAGTCTGGTAAACTGAATTCCAGATCCAAGAGCAGTACAGTATTTTTATAGCGAAAATATCCATGAAAGAGTCAAAATCCTAACAATATATCCAGCCATCTTATAACCTTAGCTTAAATTTGATTTATTATATACTGAACTAAACTCAATTCGCTGGCAAATAATGCTTCCAAGTGTTTTATTTCCAATTTCTTTTCGAAATTAACGTTACCAATTCTATAGGCACATGGAAAAAATTTTGCTGTTTTGCACTAAACAGCAATGAGTTTTAAGGTGTTTTAGGTGTTTTTTACATATGAACGTATTTCTACGGGATTTAAGTTTTCATGTAGCCTTATGCAGTCATTAATATCATTAATTGTTAATCATTAAAATTTAAAATAATTAGCAAGACTCAAGACATAATTGTCTTTAATTCGTCTGGTAATTAGAATGTGGAATAGTTTGACTTGAAATAAACTTTTAAATTTTGAAGGGATCGGGGTGAACTGCAAAATTTGTAAAAGTTAGGGAGTTCCTAGGGTAAGCTACAGAATTTTCCGTTTTCATCGTTCAAATTTCAGGAATTTTCCGGTTTCACACTAAAAGTCGAGGTTTTCTCACTTTTCGGTTTAGATCTCGTGATATTTCAATAATAAAAAATCAATAATTTTAGTTCCAATAGTTCCAACAGTATATTAGTAGTTAGTAATTAACGTAAACTTTTCTGGATTTTTTAGTTTTTTGTGCTGTGATTGAAAATGGTTAGTGACATAGTCCAACTAGAATTTTTATCATATTATATCATAATCATAGTATCAATGAAATGTCCTTGATAAAAAGATTGCAGTTTAGACTCCATTTTTGTAATGAATAGTTTTTGTGTTTAGTGGCAAAATGTCAGCAATGTTCCAATACATTTAAACTTTTTTAAAAGTTTACTTTATTAGGGAACCTTTCGTATTTTACTTACCGAAGCCCATCTTAAGAGTTGAAACAAATCGATTGTATATTTTTCTTAGAATTTTATGCATGAAGTCACAGAATATGACAAGTGAAGAACGACTATGAATACTCTAAAAGACATATGGCGTGGTCAGAAGTCATTTTCGTATAAAAAGGGTGATTTAAAAGTGAAAGTGCTTTACCGGTCTAGGAAAATACGATCAAATTGAATTAATCATCTGGTTAAATTTAATTAAAAGATAAGAAATAAATAAATAAACGTTATTTAAGAATTGGTGTTCCATGGCTAGGCGTGCAAGTTGTATAAAAAAAATATGTTTCAACATCCCTTCAATACCGCTAAGATAAATATAGGGACTAAGTTGTTTCTCATTCTTTGTTTGGAAATCTTAGCGGGGTCGTTTAAAGCAACACCTAGACAACGGGGCAATTTTGAAGGCGACGGGATTTTGTTCTAGATGCTGCGCTTTGTGTATACAAGAACGGGTCCCTTTTAACCGAATAGTAGCGGGATAAGGATGTCGCTTTTAAGCATTTAATTTGCTGCGAAATGGCTCCACAAACAGCTTGCATTAATTGAGGCTTTACGGAAATTATGTTAGCAGCGGACTGTTTTGTATATAAATATACTTGTGCAGTAGTGACAAAAAGTAGCGCTCCTGGAAAACAGCAGTATTATTCAAGTTTTGTTTATTTATTCCTGAATGTTCACATATTCGCCTTTGTTTCCTTATATAATGTGTCGTGTTCGTTGCCAGATAACAAAAAATTATTAATTATAATTGATTTTGTTATTAATAAGAATAAAATTGTAGCCAAATGTTTTTATGAGTGTCCATTATCCGGGAACTTCCTAGGTACTATTATTTAAGTCTTAATATTTGTAGTAGAATCAGTCAACAATAACAACAAACAAAACAACAATCAGTTAACATATCATTTATCACATAAAACAGAAATATTTTATTTTATTTCATCTGAGATGAAAGCAAATGCAACAAGACTGAGGCTGTAGTTTTAGTCTACTCTTTAATATACAGCAGATGTCTTTGAAACTGAAAAAATTTAGTGAGTTTATCAAATTGTAAATATTATAAGAGTACGATTTTGAAAGTTTTTATCTGGGCTGTGAAAATTTGTTAGTAAGCAAGCAAGACCTTCTATATAATTATGGTATAAGTAAAAGATGTCATGTGTTAAGTTAACCTTGGAGTTTTTGGACGCGTATTTCATCAACTGAGTCAAAATATAGGCGTAAGACAGCAGTGATTTAACCGAGGTAAAGAAGTTACAGCGAAGATTTTTGGTTTCTCTTATGACTTTGTGATGTTAATTTTAAGCAAGTGGACAAATGCACAGTTATAAAAATTATCTCTATCGCAATTAATACATTCATTTGTTGGTGGCTACTGGTTAATTGGTGTCGGTCGGTGTAAAGATGATATTTAAGATGTACTCGATGCTGTTTAAATGTATTTCATTAATAATGACTTGCTGAGTTCGATCAGATGGAATGAATTTAGCAGGCTCTTGTCCAGCCCAATAAATCTTAATGTTAAAAATGATTTAATTTTTCAAAGAAACTTCCACAGGCTTATAGGATTGCTTTCAGCTTCATTGCTATTGGAAGGTTGTGGTGAAGTGTGCCATCAAAAAATATACTTTACCGCAACTTTCCAATAGCCATGAGACCGAAAGCAATCTCAAACTTGCCACTGTGGTCCTTTCTTACGTTCAAAACATCACTGATGACATATTAAAAGTTCTAAAGAAATATAGCTTCAAAACCAGATTTATCACTTTTACAAAAGTCTCTCAACATCTTCGATCCGTCAAAGACATAATTCCGAACGCAATCACGAAACCGGACATAAAATTTTATTCGATAAAACTAAAATTCTTGCCTGTAATCAATTTTTCTACCAACGAAAAATCAGAGAGTCTATAGAAATGTATAAAGAACCTAACAATCTTAACTGCGACTCAGGTCTTTATCTGTCACCAATATGGGAATCAGTCATCCAAGACGGTGTTTATGCCCCTAATTTAGATCCGCCCCCCTCAAACAATATATAAACAGGTACAGAGTAAAATGCGAGCCAATTTCAGTCAAGGTCTGAAGAAGCCAACCGGATGGTTGGCGAAACGTCAGCAAGTTCGACTCAGCAAAAACCGACGCAGGAGGAATCAAGAAGTTTGTAAAAAAAGTGATGGTTGCTTTTGTAATAATCTGTGTGGGAGAATTGGGAGATATGCTACTTGCTATTTGCTTGATTCTTCTTCACCATGCAACTGATCCATATAATTGTATAAACAGGTTTTGTATTTCATATTTTCAATTAATCTTCTGGCTAATTTTGATTCGTAGTACCTTGCTTAAGCAATGGTTCCAGTCCTGTTATCGAGTTAACGGTTAACTGCTCTTTTTGACATCAGTTTCCTATTTTTTGCTCTATAGCTTTTTTTGTATAACTCCTGAAAATTCAAACGACAGTTTTCTGTATTAGATTAAAAACTCTTTAACATGGAAAACAATTTTCATAATAAATATCGTTTTTCTAGTAACGCTGGAGGTAATATATTGTCCGAATTTGACGAACTGATTGTTATGACCATTCTTAGCGGATTGTTAGCACACGGTCATAGTTTGTTTGCACTCGCCTGCGATAATCGGATATTTGGAGAAACAATGATCCGACAGTTTAGAACAATAACGTACTCTGAATCTGATGTTAAGTGTTGCCGTATATTAGCTTGCATTGTTGCGGTGTTTATTAATTTACTACTTTGATTTCACGCCCGGAATGTAGCGACATATTGCGATTTAGTTGGGGTTTTTGTTATCTCGATGTGATATGAATATGGAGAAGACTTCATTGTGTTTGAACAGAAGGGGTTAAATCTAGTTGGAGTCCTTATGAATAGATAAGCCTGCAATTAACATATTATGTGGGTCATCTCATCAAGATAAAGTTGTGCAAGCCAATTAATTAAGCTTGGATTTACGTGAATGATTACGAACTGAAATTTGCTATTTCAATCTTGATGTGACATCACATGTTTTACAGAAAACATGCGACGTGATAGCTTTTAAGCAATTAGTTTTCCTGAAAGAAATTAA